TAATTACATACAATGTGAAGTTAGGCACTTTCAACCATGTTCCTCTAGTGTTTCATTTCTTAAATAGCCCCAAATAAAATTCAGAGGAAATTTTAGGGGGATAAAGAAAAAGAAAAAGGGGAACAGATATTTGGTGCAGCTTTTGAGATGTAGCTTAAGATGCTCATATCCTATAACAGAATTCCTTGGTTGGAGTTCTGGCTCCCAATTCCAGCATCCTGCTAATACACACACTGAGAGGCAGCAGGTGATAGCTCAAGTACTTAGGTCCTTATCACCCATGTGGGAGACCTGGATTGAGTTCTGAGCTTCCAGCTTCTGGCTGGCCCATGCTTTGCTGTTGTGGGCATTTAGGAAGTGAACCAGCATGTTGAAAATCTCTCTCTCTCTCTCTCTTTCACTCTCTGTATCTATCTCCATTTCAAATAAATAAAAATGTTTTTTTTTTAAAGTAACAGAAAATTTATAATGAATCTTCTTCTTTCAAATCTTCCTCAAAATTGGATCACAAAATCCAGTTTGGGCCCTTAACATAGCCCAGCAATAGACAAAGTTTCTCTCTTTATTGAGATTTACTTATATATTTGAAATGCAGAGTTACGGAGAGAGAGAGGGAGAGAGAAGGAGAAGGAGAGGGGGAAGTAAAGGGAGAGGGAGAAGGAGAGAGGGAGAGGGAGAAGGAGAGAGCGAGGGCGAGATCTTCCATTTGGCAGTTCATTCCACAAATGACTGCAACAGCCGGAGCTAGGCCAGACTGCAGCCAGGAGCCAGGAGCTTCATCCAGGTTTCCAGTGGATGCAGGGTCCCAAGCACTTGGGCCATTTTCACTGCTTTCATAGGCAGATTAGCAGGAAGCTGGATCTGAAGTGGAGCATAAGGGCCTTGAACTGGTACCCACATGGGTTGCCTCCACTATGGTGCAGGTGACCACTATGCCACAATGCTGGCTCCGACAAAGGTCCTCTTAAACTATTGCCAAGAATCATATAACTTCAGTTCAATGGCCTCCAATGTTTGATGAAATGGGAAGTTGGTACCGTGATAGGACTCTACATGATGGGTTCCAGCTACATCTTGGGAGGAATTTCTTAGCGCTCTCCTCCTGAGTCCTCTGCTCCAGCCCCACTGAGTTACACTCTCTTATGAATAAATTTCACCTTCTTGCATTGCAGAACTATGGCAGGTAGTTTTCCTCTGCTTGAAAATCATCACTCCCACCTTCTGCCAAAAGCTCTACCACTTTTTTCAAGAATCTTTTCAAATGTTAGCCAAGCTTTAATGTTTGCCTTAATCCACCTTTAAAATTTAATGCCCTCCTCAAACTCTCCTTAATGCTAATACTCTAAGGTTTTTTTTCTAATTAATTATTTGAAAGTTGGAATTACAGAGAGAGAAGGAAAGATAAAGAGAGAGCTCTTCCACCCTCTGGTATACTCCCCAGTAGTTCGTAATGCCCAGAGCTGGACCAAGCCAAAGCCAGGAGCCAGGAGCCAAGAGCCAGGAGCCAGGAGCTTCTTCCAGGTCTTTTACATAGGTGGTAGGGGCCCAAGCAGTTGAGTTATCTTCCCCTACTTGTCCCAGGCAATTAGCAAGGAGCTCGACTGGAAGTAGAACAGCTGGAGCACAAACTGTCTGGCATATTGGATGCTAGCTTTGCAGGTGACAGCTTTACCCACTATGCCACAACTTCAGTCCCAAAGATTTCGTTTTATGACCCTATCACCATCTGACATTATATTTATGTGGATAATAAGAAGGTTTGTGGAAAGTATTCAATTAAAATAAGTCTATGTTGGTACAAAAATTTTGAAATTCATGCAGTTTTTCATTTTCTATGAACTTGTTGAAGACTTTCCATATATAAGTATTCACTTTAAGACTTGAAAATGGACATTTCTTGTCCTGAAAAAAAAAAACAAACTTTAAGCTATTTAGTTACCTGTTCCTGTGAAATTAGGAAATGAAGTCCAGATGTTGTTAATAATTTATTAGTTGATGAAGGACTTAAATATATTCAACACACTACCTAACCTTTTATGGTTGAAGATAGAAAATTAATTATTTTTGTATAATCAGTAGCTACTAATTATAGCAAAACTAAGCCAGATATCCAATTCTCTTTCATTGTAGCACAACTCCTTATTATAACATACTTTTTCTTATATCTGCACTTTTTTTCCTTGAAGTTATTCAATAAAAATATTCCAGAAATAGCATTTTTAAATACAGAAAAAAAGAAAATACAAAATAAATGTCACACTAAAAATCATACCCGAGGCCAATGCCATGGCTTACTTGGTTAATCCTCCACCTGCGGCTGCTCCTCTTCCAGTCCAGCTCTCTGCTGTGGCCCCGGGAAGGCAGTGGAGGATGGCCCAAGTGCTTGGGCTCCTGCACCCATGTGGGAGACCAGGAGGAAGCACCTGGCTCCTGGCTTAGGATCGACATAGCTCCGGCTGTAGCGGCCATTTGGGGGGTGAATCAACGGAAAGAAGACCTTTCTCTGTGTGTGTCTCTCTCTCACTGTCTAACTCTATATGTCAAATTAAAAAAAAAAAATCATGCCTGAAACAAGCACCACAGATTATATGCAGTAGTTTTCATTATTTGTAAATTATGTGAATATCTTGTCATAACTATCATTAGTTTATGAATAGCTACTCTATTCCAGATATGTTAACTCACTGAGCTCCACTCCCCACAACAATTTTGTAAGGTAGTTAGTATTAGCCCTACTTTTCAAATGTGAAAAATGAAATTCAGGATATAATAGCATGTTACCTGATGTCATATTATAGACAGAATCAAGACCCAGGTCACTGATGCCACAAATTCCTCTGTAGATAATGACAGAATGCTAATAATCACTGGGTAATTGAATTTATCTGCTTATATGCAATTTTCCATGGACATACTGTGAGCTGGGTTCATGGCCAACTTCTGTCACTCTACAGGCAAAGGTGACAGTGACATGGAATGTGGGAATGCATTGTTATGAAGCAACAAATTCTTATTTACTGGACTGGAACTAAGAATACACCAGTTTTAACCACAGATTGTTAGAAGAAAAGCATTCACCTGACATGTATAATTTGGATAATCTCCACACTAAAAAGACAAAGGGAGAGTAGCAAAACATAAGACAGCAATCAGACAATTTGCATTTGTTTCCTTCTTTTACTAGAAATCAGTACCTTAGAAAATTTACAACTGTAATTAACTATCACATATTTTCTCACTTTGATAGGGCATAAAAATGTTTAGAAGCAGAAGAAAAGCCCATTGTAAGGGCTTAGATACAAAAAAAGAATGTTATTTAATTTTTCTTTCGTCTAATGTTAATTTATGCATAAGCTAATAACATATTTGTTGCCGCTCTCAACCTGCCTCCCCTGTGATCCCTGCCAGACAGTTACCATTTCAGAGCTGATGACACTTTTGCCAAAGAAAGGCAATATGTTGTTAAATTTCCATCCTATAGACACATTTAATTGCTAGCTCTCTGAAACCCGATGTTGTTAGATGGTCTAATCCTCTCTAGCTGTTACAAACAAAACAGCATACTATTTGGAAGACAGGAAGAAGAGAAAATTGGATATACATAGTTTGGTCGAAAGGGAAGGGTATTGTTGACTGTTGAGGGAGAAAAAGCAGAAGGGAAGTTTTCATAAAAGAAACATAGGTTACTTTTATGTTCAGTTAGAATATAATTAAATTGTTGTACGTTTTATAAATGAATAATGTATTATACTGCTGCCAAATCACCTATAGAACCTACACAACAGTGCTTGAAGAAATGCAGAATCTTCAGAAGTTGATGCTTTAAATGAAATTCACCATGAATAAAACAAGTCCCATAATGACATTTTAAAGGTCTAATTCATAAAAATGTTATTAAAGTACATTATTTATACCTGCTTTGTGTGGACTTTTGCTCTTATTCATGACTCTCACAATGTATGGCTATAATCACAAGAGTGCATAATGGAAGCATTAATTCAATCTGTACTTAGGCAAGATATTGTATCACCACAATAAAATCCCAACTATATTCATTTAAAGGGCAGAATTTATTGCACAGAGAACTCTCTTTTGCAAAAAAAAAAAAAAAAGAAAAGAAAAGAAAAGAAAAGAATGTCTTCTATCTCACAGCCTCAAATATCTACTTCCATTCTGAAGTTTAGTGTAAGATAGTCTAATTGGTGTAGGCTTTTTAATGAAATACTTCTTCATGTACATTTTGAAATCTAGAGACTTGGATACTGAGTTGTGATATTAAGGTGATTCAGTGCTTTTATATAAAATTTCTTCTAGAGAAGCTAAATGTAATGATATTTAAATCAAAATTATCTTTACTCAGATTTTAAACATGATTTGCATATTTAATATGTATAAACCTTCAGTAAAACACATGGTGGAATTCAATTAGTTTATTTCTAACTCTAGAGTTATCAAAATTTGACTTCTTGACTTTCTACTTCTTGTTGGATGAGCTGCAATAGTGCACTGGAGATACTTTTAGACAAAGTGTGAATATATTTCTCCCTACGATACTAGATTAACTCTGTGAGTTGTGAAAAAGGGCTCTTTATAAATTATACTTCTAACACTGAAAGAAAGTGTTGTCTTTGATCTTGTAGGTAAAAAGCTCTATACCCAAGGGAATGAATTAATTCCTATATTTAATAAGATGCAGTCATTAGTAGACAACTTAAGCATTCCTCCTAGAGCTGTACAGTTAATCTTTTCAGCACAGTAACACTTTTACAATAGTTCTGGGTAAGAGAAAGCCTTGACTGCATCTGTATCTGAGATAAGAGAAAAATGACATATAGCAAAGAGAAAGATATTTCAAATATAAGGCAAATAATACTACTGATTGAAGATAAAAATTAATTTCCAACATGAAATATAGGTCTTACTGTCTCAAACCCAAAAATGTTGAACACTCAATTTTAACTCTGTATACATGACTTAGTATTTAAATTGATTTTGCTTACCAGAAAAGTGCCCAAAGATGTTCCATTGTTATATGGTTACAACTGACAGCGACAACATTTTCTCAGGTTTCTGAAATAGATCTTCCATGAAATTTGGAGGTACCACAAATGATTTACTAGGCATTGAGACTTACTGTAACCTCTGGGTGCAAAGATTGTCTAAGCACCCTCGTTGAGACAGCCACTCAGAAAGGGCAGTGGAAGTTATGTCTCAAATCAAAGGCCAGGCAAGTGTCATTTGGCTGTAAGTGACTACTGACATAAACCAGCTTTGAGCAAGGGCTAAATAGAGATAGACACCATTAATGAACCAGTATAATATGTCTATCGAAAATAAATGTATGAAAAGGTATCAGAATTCTTTTAGATTATCTATAATATCTTTCCTATGAAATTATATTTTAGTTTTATTTATCAGACTCTTCAGGCACCACACAAATAACTGCCTTGGAAAGCTCAAACTATCTTGTTCTTGATTTACCAATAATTATAGCAGCCTATAATTTTGCACATTCACTGTGATTTGGGCACATTTCATGTTGTTTTGTAAACAGTGTCCGACTTTGAGGGTGGTATTATTATTTCACAAACAAAGAAAATGTGACTTAGTGAAGATTCGGTCCTTTGGTGAAATCACAGAGCTTTCTGGAGGCAGATGGGATTTGACAATAATCCTTCATCATCCCAAACTTGGCCTGCTTTTGTGTGAACTTTTCTTGAAGAAATAATTTTAAATTTATTCTCTAGAAAAAGAAGGAGAAAAGAAGAAAGCTGAGAAGAAAGTTACCACTGAAACGAAAAAGAAAGGTAAATTTAAAAGCTATTCTAACACATAAGCTACTCAACATTCACTTATAAATTTACTGGTAAAGCTATCGAAGAGAGAGAAGGAGAGTGAAAGGGAAGCATTATGGTTTTAGAATTGTATCTGAATGGCTTTGGATCTATTCTCGTTTTATTAATATCACATTAACATGAGAGAAAACAAAAGCAATCAAATTTAAACAAAACAGTTTTACTGACCTTTTCATTTATGAACATTCTTGCAATTTCTAAGTATTGCAGATAAATTTGAAACTTACTGAAATTTAAAAGAAAATTCAGGGCTGTAACTTTTAAAACTTTATTAATGATTGCTTTTCCTTAAGAATGACTGCTCATTTCTCTCTAAGCTACTGCTTTCCTTGACTGGACTTGTGAATATGAATGTGAATATTAATATTAAATTCATTATACTTAATATAAAATGTCCATCAAAAGAAAAATTGTTTTATATTGATGGAATGAAATAATTGATGGATTTGTTGTATCTTATATTATGTGTGTGTGTGTGTGTGTGTGTGTTTAAGTCGGCTGTTTACAAGTAGTATCTCTGAATCCCCAAACAGGTCTTAGAGATTTTTGAGCTTTGTCAAATTTCAAAGTGTCAAAAAACCCAGGGGACAGTCAACGTATTTTGTATAATATGCTATAGAAAATCTGCTAAATTGCTAACTAATAATGTCATTAAATTTTCCACTATTTAATGTTTTCCCTTAGCAAAAAAAAAAATGTTCTCTTCTTGAAGATAAACCTCCCCTAAACCAATAGTCTATTTCAAAGATGCAGCTTTATTCACACTTGACATGACTTATGGCTCTGATTTAATATTCCTCCATACAAGATGAATTGGAAACCTTCATGGCAGTCACACATGCCTTGAAACATGTAAGAATTAAACAGGTAGTGGCTTATAATTTCCTTATTTTTTCAGCAGAAAAAGAAGATGCCAAAAAGAAAAGTGAGAAGGAAACTGACATTGATATGAAAAAAAAAGGTATTTCCTTTTCTTTGTTTCCTTGGTCAGATTATGCCCAGGATGTTTGTTTCATTGAGAAATCTGAGAGCAACATATACAAATTGTATGTGAATGCTTATATCCAACCACTTCCAAGCAAAACATCTAGTAGACAAAGTTGAACAGGCAGGAGTGTGCATTTAGTCTAGCAGGTAAGATACCCTGTCCTGCAATGCAGTATCTGGGTTTGAGTCACAATTCTGGTTCTTGAGAATGGGATTCCTGCCAATACAGATCCTGGGAGGCAATGGTTATGACTTCAGCTGATTTCTTGCTACCCATGTGGGAAACCAGGATTGAGTTCTTACCTCCTTGCTTCAGCCCTAGCCCAGTTCTAGTAATTGCAGGCATTTTGGGAATGAAGCAGTAGATGGAAATTCTCTGTATCTCTTTTCTCCACCTCCCCCACCTGCTCCTCTCCTCTCCTCTCCTCTCCTCTCCTCTCCTCTCCTCTCTTCTCCTCTCCTCGCCTCTTATTTCACTTGCTATCCATCTCTCTGACTCTCTCCCTTTCCAATAAATAAATAAATAAAAAATAAGACAATCAGGCAATCTGGAAATAAAGCTTAATTTTTACAGCAAGATATATTTTATTCAAAACTATTGCAAAGAAAGAACAAAATCAGTTCAAACTCAATTCCACTAAAACAAAGAGTAAGGGATGTTTTCAGTTAGGATGGGGATCATAGGCCATCTGTGTTTGCAAATTGATCTTACCAAAAAGAAAAGTAAGCTTTCTTTCCCATATAATCATAGCAGGGAGAAGTTTTACAACCTGGAGCAAGACAGCCATGGAGGTTAGACTCCTGCCCTCCCACAACAACTGGGAGATAAGGGCACTATCTTGATGACTAAATTTCAAAGGGTAGTTCTTACATCTCTGAGAAAGGCATTTCTGGGTTATAAAACTTGAAAGTGGCTATTAAAAAGATTTATATGTCAAACAGGCAGAGAAAAGATTTACAATAAACAAGTTTTCTAAAGTAAATGAACTAAGGAAAATGAGCCTAAATTCAGGATCTAAGGTTGAACCAAGCCCAGGGCCCCCTTAATGAAACTGAGAAGTCCAAAGTCTAATAAGCCACTTTGCAAAGGAAACAGCAGAGACAGGATAATGCACTCCATTTTGAAACAGCATGATTCAACCGTTTCAACAACTTTGGTTTTTGCTTTAAATTTAATTTTGCTTGTATTCTCATTCAAACATACGTACTGACTTCTATTCAAGTGAGGCCTAAGTCTACATGGAGAAGATACTTATCTCAAATATTAGGGTTTGGAAATTAGTAATCTCACCCCAAATATTTCCTCTACCAGGATCAGTGGTGCTTGAACGTCCACCATTAGTGTCATTGGTTTCCTTTGAATTATGAAGGAATTTTATCTTCTCTTAAAATGCCAGTCTCTGGGTTTTGACTGTGTGTGAGAGAGAGTGTGTGTGTTTGTATATGAATGTATGGGTGTAGAGTAGGGTAGGTGGGAGTGGTGGTAAAAAAACAAAAGTAAATCATCTCAGCAATTAACAAGTTGAAGTGAATGAGATTTCCAGATCTTCCCTCGGTAATGGTAGCTGATGCCCTGGAAAATGAAGCAGTAGATAACCTTAAACAAAGACATAGCTGAAAGGTAGCACATTGTCTCGGGAGAACAGGCTGGGCTCTGGACTGGATGACATTCAAGACAATTCTACTCCCCCTATAGAGTAATAGCAGATGTGAGGGAATGATTGTGAGAACTCTTTAAAGAAGGAGACCTTAGGATCTAAATGAAGTAAGGATAATTCCTAGCAAGTAGCAAATAGAAATGAAAAAAAAAAAAATCCCCAAGAGAAGGCCGCAAGTGAAGTAAAAGTAAATATTAAAAGTTGCATGGTTATATGGCTTATGAAATGAGAAAAAAGAGGCATTCAGACATTCTGTGAGTGTGGGAGTTGATTACTAACTACTTTGCTTCTAGATTTCCATTATTAAAATACATTATGGTAAGATTTATTACATTGTTGAATATTTATTGCTTTTATTTGAAAACTTTCTTATTTTCCTGATGACATATATGTCTTATCATAAAAAAATAAAATCACAATTCTAACTGTCTGACAATACTGAGAAACTGGTGGCTTGGGGTGTTGGATCTGTGAGAGTTACTTGATTGGATGGTAAGGACAAACAAGTTGCTTCTTTCTGTGTCATCAGCTTTACTAAAGGATTTGCAGTAGAAAGTGTTAGAGCATAAAGGGTTAGAATTTTAATTTTCCAGGTGTTTGTGATATGTATGCAAGCTTAAAATCAGAAAAAAATAATGCTATTGGCAAAATTCATTGATTTGTGTGCACTTGTGTGCCTGCCTGTGTGTAAGTGTTTGGTTGATTTGGTTTGGTTTTATATTTTTGGAAATGAAGACAAAATGTGTTTATATATAATGAGTTATGCGAAAATCTGAACCTTCCATGCAACCAGGAGACCTGTGCTATTAGTCCAGCAGTCATGTCAAGGACATTGTGTACCACTGGCAGGAAAACTGATGATGCCAATATCACCTACTGCAAGGCCACTGCTTGGCCACTGAAGCAGACACTGTGTAGGTAATCCCTCTGAAGCTCCTGGAAGGGCTGTTCAACTTGTGTTAAAAAACAGGCATGTCCTCCTTGGAATGCATTTTCTAATTATAGAATTGTCATTTTTTTACTTTTGATTACACAAAATACCATTGGTTTTTTACAAATCAGCTAAACTTCCAAATGAGAATATGTATAAAATCCATTTTCTTATAAGCACTTAGCACCCAAATACTCAAAACTGTGTTTGTGTGTGTGTGTGTGTGAGAGAGGGAGAGAGAGAGAGAAAGAGAAATAAATTCAATTAGTGTTTTTTTAAAAAACTCATGTTTGTTTTTAATGTTTCATAATTTTCCAACTACATTATACATGACAATATGGTTTGAAAACAGGTAGTTTTAAGGTTATTATGAAAGTAGCAAAATTTATAGAGATAATGAGGGGAAATTGAGAATAATCAGAAAACTTGAAGAGCTGGGGTGCACATGTTATTTCTTTATAAAACAGCAGAACATGGTAGAGCATACACTATCCCTCCTGTAGCACACAGCAGTAAAAAATTATAAGGCATACAACTTTCTTGGATGCTTAATGGTGCTGTTATGACACTTACACTGAATGTTATAGTATGTATCTGATCAAAAATCTACTTGTTTTATTTATATGCTTTATTATTTTATTGGGTTACACGTATTTGTACACATAAACACTTGCAAATGAACATAGGCTTAAGTTCTATTGATTGTTAAGTAATGCTTTACTGGATGGAGCTAACTAAATCACACTTAGTAATGATGTATGTTAGGGAAAATTTGGATCAGGTTTTATAGGATTCAAAATTGTCAGCCTGTCAATTAACAGTTTTTGAAATCCAGTAATTGGTACACCAAGGTTAATTATAATAATCTCCTGTTTAGTATGTATTTGAAATTTTGCATGGTAAAACTCAACAAATACCTTCCACTTAATATCAATATTTTAAAAAGAGAAAAGATAAGGAAAAACTTGCAATGTTATAAGGTACTTTTAAACTATCATGAAGTAAAGCAACCAAAAGAAGAAATAAAATCTGTGAAAAATCTCACTACACACCAGACTTTAGTGGTAGACATACCAAACACTCTTGTTAGCACATGTACAGGAGATGTTTCAATTGTTGGAAGGACTGCAAGAATTTAAATCTAGGGGATGTTACTGGGTTACCAAGCAATAGGGCGCATCATTAGTTAAGGAAGTTGCTTCATTCAGCAAAGCTGCCTCTTCCCATCAATAAATACTGGAATTGGAATTAGTTACTTACTGGTGTCTTCATTTGCCAAGTAATTTGTCTGTTTTGCCAAGTCATTTTTGCTTTGCAATCTCAGGCAAGTGTGCTTAATTGGTGAAATTTTCTATGTCTCCAAAATTCCAGACAAAAGTGAGTCTGAGAGATGTAGATTTTTGGCATTTCATTTTTTCCAAGCAGAAGGGAGATAGAATGAAGAGGAAAGAGAGAGCCGCCACAGTATCTAAAATAATGATGATGTAATAATAATCCTTCGATATATATCAAAAGATAAAAATCATTTAAAGGAGATGACTTTTGAAGGCCTGAATTATACAGTAAATACATCTATCAATGGATCCCCCCAAAAGCTGAACAAAATAACTTAATCAAGCAACATGAAAAATTATGTAATTTAAAGTGCTCACAAGGTACACTTAAATCTATTTACATTGCTCTGAGCCTAAATTGCAAATGGAAATAGAACGAATATTTTACTTCTCTTCATTCCACAATGTGAAGCTTCACAGAAATAATTTTCCAATTCCTTGAGACAATAATGCTTTAAAAAATTTACAAGTTTATCTTATGATGAAACAGTTATAACCTTGGAAAAATATATAGCTCAACAAAGAATTTAGGCCAAAAGCAAATCAACCCATTTTTCCCAGGTTGGTTTTTTTTTTTTTTTTTGAATTACAAGTCATTCACTTTTTAGAGTTAAATTTACAAGTAGTCTATATGTTTATATATTTATCAGCTATTAAAATAATTTTGACATAACAATTCATAGATATAATGGTATTATTATTATCAATGCCATTTTCAAGAATTATTTGTATGAAATTATAAATTAGAGGAAGAATCCTAACAGAAACTCCCTGGCTTTTCTGCAATAAGTTGTAAGAAAAAGACAAATTCATTTATTCATAAATTCCTGCCTTGTTGCAGGAACTACTGGCAAGATGCCTGCTATATGCCAAACATTATACCAAGTGTTGATTACTCAGAGGGAGATAACTAGATATAAGATGTGCCTCAGAGGAGTTTTCTGTTTAATGAGGGAGGCCCTGGGTGAACAAGGAGACATAATGTCCACAAGCACAATTTGAAGGAAGTAGGTTTGGCTGAATGATGGAGAACAATGGATTGGAGTGGGGG